TTATTATTATTATTATTATTATTATTATTATTATTATTATTATTATTATTATTATTATTATTATTATTATTATTATATTTTGACCAGTAAAATTCAATCGTTTAGGGTTAGCTTCCCGATTCCAATTTCTTAGTTTGCCCAGGACGCAAGTAAATCTTGTTATTACATATAAGACATACTTCATGAAAATTGTAAAAATGGACTCTGGACAGTATTAAAGACTGATATTAATATGCGTTCTTTAACCTACTAAAGGTGTACAGGCCTTTGCACATGTATCACATGACGTTATTGACCAAAACGCTGTCGTCGTAATTGATACACTACGCTAGTCTTTCATGTCTGACTAGTCACATACGGTATAACAGGAATTAATAATACCCAATATTTTTGGGGCCGATCTGGTAATAATCGCCGTGTGTTACTTGAACCAACAATTTTTCGATAGACAAGAACTGGTGTAGAAGTACACAGTCCTTTATAGTGGAGACTAATTAAAATCACGATATATTAGATAAAGGTTCAAACCCATCTATAATGAATGCTATCCGATATAGTCTATTTACTAATAAATTTTCAAAAACTCTCGATATAGTGTATTTTTGAGAATTTTTTACTAGTAGATTTTTTTGATACATTATAAAGAGAGTCACTGTGTATTCGGACAGTAAAAATTACAGTCGTATGTGCCACATAACCAGCAAGTTTTTTAAACTACTATTGGTGCCGTGTAATGTATGTCTGTATGCGTGTATATTTCGGAATAAAATACGCTTAATCTTTCCGAATCCTGCGATTGGTCAAATAGCCCCCTTATATTCACGCGATATGTACAAATTATTTTTCAAATATATTAAACCCACCGCAATCATATTAATATGCACAATTATAAATTTAGTTTAATGACGTTGTTTGTTAAAATTAACATCATAGTTCCCAACTGTATCTTTTGGGGTGTTGGCAGTCGCACAATTGTTCTCTTTATGTATACAGTAGTATGTTTCTATGGATTAGTCGTTCTTGATACCTCATCATGCGTTGTCAAATTTTATCCGACTAAAATAAAAGTAACCCAAATACACGAATGCTTGCCTTTATCTTTCAATAAAAAGTAAGTACACTATCAGATAACATCTGAATTATTGAGCATATAATAACTACATAGTTTGCGATTTTGGGTTAGTTCTATTTTAATCGCTGTGCTACATAACACGGAAGAGAAAACTGGCTTTATTACCGAACAGCACATATATTGTTCGTTATCGGTTGTTTTTATTGGCGTCACGTGGCTATAGTTATGGCTCAGAGTCAAAGTGAAGAGAGGAGAGGAGAAATGCAGATAGCATCGGCAATTGTTGGGTCAACACTTTCTTCGGCTAAGTCCACAAATAATAAATATTTCAACTTTACTATCAGCGCAGCTACTGCATGTCCTGTACGAAAAATACAATATTAGTCTCTTGCAACACAATAAAAACAACACAGGTATGCAAACAGCGTCATTAGAAAGCAATCTTTTATTTGGAGATTCGAACAATAATAAATCGTAAAGTTTAAGAACTTGAAAATTAGTAAAATATATAAATATAAAGATTATCGGCTATTACTATATATTGTTTAGTCTTTTCTCAGGCAAATTTTAACTATGATTACCAGGATATTTTCTTATTTATCGAAAAAGTATGCCAGAAAATTAAGTTGAGATGATTCCAATTTTTAACATAAATCGAACATGACAGGGACAATTCTCTACTATAAATTTAATACATGGAAAGAAAACATATAACGTTGTATGTACTATATTTGATGTTGTTCAACGTGCAAACGTAAAGAAGAAAAGCTTCTAACGTAAAAGCTATCTTGTTATCCATGCCAAGAAACCAGATTACATTGCTTGAAAAAATGTACAGATAAATAATTCTTAAACGCAAGAGCGTTTTTTTTTAAATGTGAGAACTAACAATCATAGCAAAATCATTGCCAAATGTTAAAAAATACGTCTTCATCGTTCAGCCGCATTAAATGGATGACTTTATGCGCATAAATCTTATTCCAATAAGAAGCTACTTCTTTTGTGTTCCAAGAGTCGTTCTCTTCTTTTAAGTGTTATGTCGGAGGCGGAAAATCGTGTTGATTATTTAAAAAAAGAACGGACGCTGTCCAATGTTCGTACTCTGTCTCCGTCACACAAATACATCGTAAAAGGCGTTCGTGAGATTTTCCATTTTGGTCAATTTCGTCGACAGATAAATCAATTAAGGTGATATTATAAACAATATAAACTGTCGAGCGGAGGCGAATCAATTCCTGCTTGCCCGAAGGGCAGCAGCATCGTGGAAAGATTTTTGAGGTGGTGGGGCGTCTGGTGATGATCTGGCCGAGATGTTGTGTCCGGCGGCGCCTTCTTGAAATGTGCGAGCGCGTCGTATGGGGGTGGAGGTTCTTATGTGGTGACATGCTTCTTATGAAGTTTTTTTTGTTGTGAGGTTGATTTTTATTTTGTGTGAGAGAAGAGCGAGGAGAGCGAGGAGAGCGAGGAGAGAGAGGAGAGAGAGGAGAGAGAGGAGAGAGATATTTGAAATGTAATGAGAGAATGAGAGTGTCAGACCGAACGTTGGAAATGTGATGAGTGAAAATGTGTTTATTTTATAAGTTTGTGAGTGGTGTAACACAGTTTTCGGATTTACAAGATGTTGGCATAATATTTTAATTTTTCTCTTGAGTTATTAATCTAGCAAATTGCACAAGCCCACAATTAATAACAGAATGCTAATAAAAAAAAAGTAATATTATAGGCGTTGAAAATTGTTTCGTTAATATATTTTTGAGGAAAATAACATATCAGTTATAGCCTAAACGTGATGATCATGTTATAGACTTTCAACATATGATCGCTATTGAAAACGTCTAGCGAGCAAATTCTTACAATCTATATAATAGCGACTGTAAAGATTTTTAACCATCAATGAAAAATGTTTAATAAACATATTCCTTTCTTGGTTGCTATGTGACACTATACGACAATTGCCCGAATATTTACAATAAAAGGTGCATTTTGATAAAATAAAATATCGATGCCCAATTTTGCAGTAGAACATAGGCTTTTCTCGAATTATACATTTAATCAATTTCACATACAGTCGGTGCCGACAAAATTCGAAACATCTCATCTCACTACTGCTTGACTTATTTGGCTTTTATTTGAGTGTGGAACAGAAGCACCACTCCCTAGCGGGAAGCGGAGTTAATACCTGACAGTTGCCAAGTCCAATAATTTAGTATAGCTTTCAATCAGCTAACGTTAACTTTTCGTATTTTTAATATCCGACAGCAGAGGATTTGTAAAAAAGATTTGCTTTTTTCTGATATCTTTGCTTATGTTTTCTGATATCTTCGACTTTATAATTGTCGTGAGTTTTTCCCTACTTTTATGATAGTAATAGTTGAATACAAAGAGGGGTTGTGTCTGCGTTACGTGTGTAACAAATAGAGAACGTCTGATGAACAAGATTTCGGGGGGCGGGCGCAGGAAATCCAGCAACGAGTGTGTACAATGAATATGCTTTCCGTGAAACGAACCTATTATTCATCATTTGTTTAGACCCATACAGATTAATATTCATTTCTTCAATCGACCATGCAGCATGCCAAAATAAAACGTTTATCGGGTAAAATCCGTCATATCATTTTTAGACTTTGAACCCATGTTACTTTCCCAAAATACATCACAAGTATCAAATTTGGATGTTCTGTGAACCAACCAAAATATCTCCGTTTATCTCACTATCGAAATAGAGAAACTTGGCAGGTTTATATGATTCGGCTTCAGAATTGACAAGAGTCAATACATCTCGCTTGCTAGAGAAGAGTGAACTGCTTTAATTTTGCATAGCCCAAAATACAATATACCGGTAAATATTTATGATGTCATATCTAGCAACAATCGGTATCCATACGAACTATATTTTTCTTGATTAGAACGAATGAAAAGGTGTGCTACCGACCAAAGGCCAGACAGGCAAAGTTTTTGTTCTATTACAGGTTACGTTGGTGCATGGTACGTGTAACACAGAACTCGTAATTAATCTTAACGTCAAATATTAATATTCCACATTCCGGCATGCACACTTTATTTCAACGTTCCACACAGACATTCCATCCCCGCGTTCCTCATGGTCATACATGTGGATTTAACCAATCAAAGAAAATAGATAAACAAACAACGAAACTTGCTTATTATTATGTCCACATTATATGAGAGACTTCTGATTTAATCTATCGACAATACGTAAGTGTAATACAACTTATTACTGTTATTAGCAAACTTGCGTGTAATTAAAAAACTTTAGGTACCATCCGAACAAGATAAGAAGGCGGGTATTCGTAAACTTTAAATTGAGAATTTTAGGTTTAAATCAACCCGAATACCAAATCGTCTGAGCGAGATAAGATGTGTGTGCGTTGACGAATTACAAAGTGGGCGTTTGTATACACCATGACCTTAGGTTTAAATCAACCCGATACCAAATCATCTGAGCGATGTGTGTCCCACAAATTATAAGGCGTGGGTATTCGTAATATACCATAAACTTTATCTTTACTAAAATTTCTGCCAATGCTTTGTGAATCGTAACAGTAAAGCTGACGTATTAAACTATTATTACAGATGTACATTTATCAGCAAATTGCATACGGTTTTCATGAAGATGCATGGCTATATTTACAGCTCGATGTAAGTTTTACTGCTATAATTATGAATTATAACAATAACAAGTTCCCTTGTTCTCATACTAATAGTAGACAGCCCTCGTGGAATCTATGTTTACATCAATTAAGGGGCGTGCTGTGACAATAGTGTTCGCAAGATATCACTGTTATTACTAATCAATTGCTTTACTCGGCTTAATTAATTATGAAATTAATAAATATCAGTGGTGTGTGTGAATTGTCAAACTTTCTCCAAACCTTAAAAAATTTTCTTTGTGCGTGTGATTGTCAATTTTCCTAATGTAGTATCGAACTACTTTGATAAGTAAATATGATCACAAAGATAACAATAACGTTCATTGACTGCATTTAAAAAAATGCCGGGTCGGAAAATTTTACAAAACAATTATTCCGCTTTGTCCATTTCATAAAAATATGACCAACCAAATTACAAGTCTAATAATAATAATAATAACTCAAATTTGCCTTTAACGATTTGTACAATTTACATGTCTTGAGAATTTGGGAAACGTGTAAAATAAATTAATATAACAGTTTACGAGATAATGGAGAGTCGTATTGGTATGTTTATTTAGGGCTGCAATAACAATAAAGGCACATATTATCTGTTAGACTTTCATTGACTCCTAGATTGGAAATCACGTCCTACCGTCTGCGCCTATAAAATTTTATCGAAACCTGTTTGTGTTCATATATTAATATGGAACAACCTAAATTATCTTTCTGAGATTCTTTGTCTGTTTACACTCGTTTTGTTGTAGCCTAAAAGTCGAAGAGCAATTGACTTGAAACATCATATGACCCCCTTGTCCGACTGTAAAGCTGTAATGTTCAATACCTTATATATCATATTGTTTATATTTATTTTTTCTTGAAATTAATTGAGGAGTCATGAGCATAGAAGTAATTATAATTTTCTCCAGTATTATCGATTTGTCATTCTATTATTTTAATATCGTTTTCATACACTAATTCCAATGCTTACTTCCACATCTTTACTTTATGATGGCATCTACTATGTATCTTTTCCTTGATCTACAGATTGCCTCATTGTCTCTTCAGGTAACACTTTTATAAGAATCATATTGCTCCATGGCCAGTGGCAGTGCAAACTTGCGTATTACGTAATTGAACCTACAATACGAAAAATTGTTACACATTACGCGTAATGACAGACGTTGATTTCACTTACAGATACCAAACGACAAGCCTACACTCTATTTGCTTCTTTTGTTCTCCTCCAGTTAAACTGATAATTTCATCTCTAATACCTTTTCAACTAATTCTTGTGATTGTGGATGACGTGGCCTACTGTTTATAATTCGATGTTACGATCATAATTGGGACACAGACTCTTGCTCATTATCGAATTGCAGGATTGTGGTGTTACGGCAAGCTGAACGAAGATACGATAAGAAACCTGCAACATGCTTTGTTTTTTTTTGTAGTAAGCGGACAAGCCCACGAGTTTTGCATGGCGCAATTCCCCATCCGCTCTTGTACGCATATCTATAGGTTAATTTATTATAAAATAGCCTTTATTTAATTGTTCGATAAGAAATAATATTAACAAGCCCTTATAAATTATTACTTAAAGACGAGTCGCGCATATGTTACGTGTATTAACGGATTTCTGCACTAAAAACACGAGATCCAGCAACCTTGAGAAAATTACGTTAATTGAGGATCATGTACGCATTGACGCAAGTTTAATTTGTGACCTTATATATATAGCCCGCATGTTGCAATTTTTGACGCAATAATTTGACAAATTTTATGTAATTCATTCTTAAGACAAAATAATGTTAAAGACTTTTCTGTGTAGTCTTATTTATTCTAAAGCAGAGAAATGCTGGCGTAATTGGCTATCGTTTGTGAGTTCTTATTTAATTTAATTTTCTCAAGATTAAGGCTTTCGCTTGAATAATTAGTGATTGCAGGTCGTGTGCAGTGAGCTGTGAAAAGATTATTGAAATTTTGCTTTGTTTATTTGATCACTTTTCTTTGTTACATGCATCATTCAGTTTCACCAGCAAAGACGAAAAGCAAAGTAAACATGTTGTGTCTGAGTTGGGGACCTGTCTCAATTCACTCAGTCCAGAACTCAGTTGTCTTCCAGAATCCCCAACTGAGGTACAACAAACACAAAAACAACTTGCAAATGCTTACTAATAACTTTGTCCCATTATCTCAGCTATTGAAAGGGTTTTAACTGGTTTATTTTTTCTTAAATTACGAAAGCAACTTACCCTGTTTCTCATAGCTTGACCACAATCATTACAGTGTGGCAAGGTGCCATTATCAAGATCTTCTTTACATTCAACACAAATATAGGCAATATCATTATAGCCACTAGTTTTGGTATTGTAGGCTACCATTTCATGTGTGGCAATTGAGTTTTTATTACTCTCAAAAGAACAGAAACTACAGTGCCAACTGTCTCCTTTTCTCAACTGACTGATCTGATATTCTAATTTCATGTTACTTGCTCTTTTGTAAGATATAAGCATTAAACTTCTCCTTAACTATTTCCTTAGTTTGGTTCACTTTACTTTTTATCTTACTACCCAACAGTTTAAACTTATTAGTTTTTTTTGGTAAAACTGGTAATTTTTGAAGTT